TTCCTTTCTCTCTCTTCCGCCATCCCTTCCTTCCATCCATCTTCCTTCCATTCTTTCAGTCTTTCTTTCTTTTTTTTCTCCCTTCCTTCCTTCCTTCCTTCCTATTTCTCTCTTTCTTTCAATCTTTCTCTCTGTCTTTCTTTCTTTCTGTCTTCCTTCCTTCCTTCCTTTCTCTCTTTCTTTCTGTCTATCTTCCTTCCTTTCTTTCTTTCTCTCCTCCTTGCTTTCTCTCTCTCTCTCTCTCTCTCTTTGTTTCTCTCTGTGTGTCTGTCTTCCTTTCTCTCTCTTCCTCCCTCCCTTCCTTCTATCCATCTTCCCTCCATCCTTTCATTCTTTCAATCTTCCTTCCTCACTTCCTTTCTTTCTCTCTGCCTGTCTTCCTTTCTTTCACTCCTCCTTTCTTTGTCTTCTTTTCTTTCTCTCTATCTCTCTGATTCTCTCTCTCTGTTTCTCTCTGTGTGTCTGTCTTCCTCCCTTTCTCTCTCTCTCTCTTCCTCCCTCCCTTAATAATAATAATAATAATACTTTATTTATACCCCGCCACCATCTCCCCAAGAGGACTCGGGTCGGCTTACATGAGGCCACACCCAACAATAGAGTAAAACGATATAACACAAGAACACAACAGAAAATAAGAAAATAAAATAACCAATATAAATAAACAGTGCAACAATATAAAACCAGAACATTAAAACGCTGAAAATAATCACAGTGGGCATGGTCAATTGCAAAATTAAAATTTTAAAACACTGGGTGAGAGGGCAATGTCATGTATTCCTTCCTTCTGTCCGTCCATCTTCCCGCCATCATATTCTTTCTGTCTTTTTTCTCTCTTCCCTCCTTCCTTCCTCCCTTCCTTCCCTCCCTTCTTTCCCTTTGCTACCCGGCCTTCCTTTGTGGGTGAGGAGGATCCCATATGCAAGTCCCATTGTCCATGATCCATCCTCCTCCAAACCACAATAGGATGTAGAGTGGGTCATGGGGGCTCTGTGTGCCAGATTTGGTCCTGATCCAACATTGGTAGGGGTCACAGTGGTCTGTGGGAGCCGAAACTATTGAAACCACTTCAAATCCCATCATCCACGGTCCATCCTCCCCCAAACCACACCAGGACGTAAAGTAGATCATGGGGGTTATATGTACCAAGTTCTTCATTTGTGGGGGTCACAATGGCCTGTGGAAGTAGCAGCCAATCAGAAAGCAGAAGGAAACACCACCGCATACATACATACAAACATGCATACAAACACTGATTTTCCCTGTAATAGGCGGTGAGGGCACCTAAAGCTTTGGAGAGCTTCTGTTCAACCATTTCAAAGCTCCCTGCATGGGCGGTGATGGCACAATCATCACTATACATGGAACTCAACAAAAAAGCTTCTGTTTTGTAGCAGCTTTCTTATATTTATTTATGCCCTGTTTTATCTCCCCAAAGGGAACTCAAAGAATGTCCCTGTTCTGACTTAAAAACCAATTCAAATCTACAGAACCAATTGTGTTCATACCTTGGGGACAGTCTGTATATTATCTATCTAACAATTACATATGTGCGCGCGCTCACACACACACATATACGCTTCACACAGCATAGGGAAGTGTGTGTGTGTGTGTGTGTGTGTGTGTATATGACTACCGTTAGACTTAAAAAATGTACCCATTCCGATTTAAGTACAAATTTATTTATTTAAAAGTTTTGTATACCAGCCTTCTCACCTCCCTTGAGGGACTCAGACCAGTTTCCAACCATAATATCACATACAATCAATAAAACATCATAATACATATTACATATTAAAACAGCAATCAATAACTATAATGGTCAGTCGTCACACTAAAATCGTTCATCATCCTCCATCCATGTCTCAGGGTGTTGGCTCACTCATCGAATGCCTGTCTCCATAGCCAAGTCTTCACCTGTTTCCTAAATGTCAGGATAGAAGGGGCGGTTCTGATCTCCAGTGGGAGAGAGTTCCAGAGTCGAGGGGCCACCACCGAGAAGGCCCTGTCCCTCGTCCCCACCAGACGCGCTTGTGAGGCCGGTGGGACCGAGAGCAGGGCCTCTCCAGACGATCTTAATAATCTTGATGGTTCATAGGGGAGAATACGTTCGGAGAGGTAAACAGGGCCAGAGTCGTTTAGGGCTTTATAGGTTAACACCAGCACTTTGAATTGTGCTCGGAAGCTAATTGGCAGCCAGTGGAGCTGGTGTAACAGCGGAGTGGTGTGAATTTCAACTTACATACAAATTCAACTTAAGAACAAACCAACAGAACCAATTTTGTTCCTAACTTGGGGACTGCTTGTATATAAAACATATATATATACCTACACACATACAAATATATGTATTAGTTTTGAACAGCATAGGGAAAGGTGTGTGTGTGTATGTGTGTATCTATGTAAATAAAAATGTAATGTTTGTTTGTGGGATTAACAGAACTCAAAAACCACTGGGGGAATTGACACCAAATTTGGACACAAGACACCTCACAACCCAATGTATGTCCTTCACTCATAAAAACACTGTCTGTCTATATATATATATATATATATATATATATATATACACACACACACACACTATATATATATATATACTATATACATACACATACATACATACACACACATATACACACACACACATACATACATACATACACATATACACACACACATAAAGGTTTCCCCCTGACATTGAGTCTATACTGTCATATATATATATATATATATATACACACACACACACACACACACATACATACATACATACATACATACACACACACACACACATATATACACACATAGGTAAAGGTTTCCCCGTGACATTAAGTCTATACTGTCATATATATATATATATATATATATATATATATATATATACACACACACACACACACACACACATACATACATACATACATACACACACACACACACACACACACACATAGGTAAAGGTTTGAAAAGGGCAGAATATAAGTGCTTCGAATAAATAAATAATACTAGCCGTCCCCTGCCACGTGTTGCTGTGGCCCAGTCTGCGTATATGTGTTTTTTGTGTGTATATATTTGTGTATATGTGTATATATGTGGTTTTGTGCATGTTTTTTTTTGGGGGGGGGGTTGCTTTCTAAGTCCCTTCTGCTGTGTTTTTCCATGTTTTTATGAGTGATGGTCACTTGTCCTGATTGGTGTCTTGTGTCCAAATTTGGTGTCAATTCGCGTAGTGGTTTTTGAGTTATCTTAATCCCAACGAACATGACATTTTTATTTATATAGATACACAAACACACATTTTTATATATTCATTTTGGACAGTATAAAGAAGTGTGTGTATGGCTGGAGTTGCACTTTAAAAAGTCCCTGTTCCAACTTGCAAACCTTGTTTGTAACTTGGGGACTGCCTGCCTTGACCAGAAGCCTCTTCCTGCCATGGAAAGCCTCTTGGAAGCGCAAGGCCACACGAGACACGTCTTGTGCTGAGTTCTTTCCTCTTGTTTCAGAAGAGGAAGGGCGTTACTTCGAAACAGTCCCTTCTCGGTGGGTCGAGTCTGATGATGTCATGGAAATTCCCCCGTTTTGGCCGGGCCCCATTCCCTCCTTCTCCTTCCTTTGTCAGGAGTCCCGACCTCGGAAAGAAAAGGGGGAATTCACATTGACACCGGCCAGGTTTCCTCTTGCGATGAGATGCAAACACATTGGTTCTGAATGTCTTCAAACCCCATCTAGAGGCAATGCGGGGCAGAAATATCAAGTCCAAATAGATTTGTGTCCCATTTAGAGGCCACACAGGGTTGACTAGGACTTCAAGGAACCAATGAATGGCAGAAAAAACAGAATTAAAATATATTTATATTCCATTTAGGGACAATGTGGGGTTCACTAGAGGGTTGGGGTACCAATGGATTGCAAAATAAATGTATTTATATCCCACCTAGAGACAATTTGGGGTCAATTAGGACTTTGGGGAACATTGTATGGGAAATATATCAATTTAAATTGTATTTATATCCCATCTAGAGACAATTTGGGATCGACTTTTACTTTGGGGATCAATGTATGGGAAATATGTCAATTTAAAATGTATTTATATCCCATCTAGAGACAATTTGGGGTTGATTAAGACTTTGAGGATCAATGTATGGGAATTTAAATTGTATATCCCATCTAGAGACAATTTGGGGTCGACTAGGACTTTGGGGATCAATGTATGGGAAATATATCGATTTAAAATGTATTTATATCCCTTCTAGAGACAATTTGGGGTCGATTAGGACTTTAGGGATCAGTGTATGGGAAATATATTGATTTAAATTGTATTTATATCCCACCTAGAGACAATTTGGGGTTGATTAGGACTTTGGGGAACAATGTATGGGAAATATATCTGTATTTATATCCCATCTAGAGACAATTTAGGGTCGATTAGGACTTTGGGG